AAAAAATAAACAATTTAGATTTTCAGTACAAATCGGCAATTTCATACTTTAACCCCTATTATTATTAATAAAATGATCGAACACTTAGTAGAGTGAAGAAATAGATTTGTCACAGACGGCGCTACTGCAAAAAGTCGTTAAGAACTAAATACAGATCTTCAACAAGTACATAGAAATTTTCATAAGGTTCGCTCGTTCGTACTGTGGCTTAGCTGGCATAGCGTCTGGTACCAGATGTCGGTTCGAATCCAGCCGGATCGCAGGATTTTTTTCTAAGTGTAAACATTTCTTACCTGTTCTAAAGAATAAAAATTATTTTTATTCCCACCGCAACCAGAATAGACAGTTTCTTTGCAAACTTTGTACAGCCTATCGTAGTAGTATCTGCGTATTCCTCCGAAACAGAAGCCATAGTCAAACGACAGGTGGCACCAGCGGGGTCGTCCAGCTAAAAAAAATAAAATGGTCTTATTTGCTTCGTGGGATCTTGAATAGTACTAAAGACACGGTACCACAGTGCTTACTGTCGTATACCTATTATGTGGGTCTCTATTTTAACCGACTTCAAAAAAGATGAGGTCCTCAATTCGACTTTTTTTTGTTGTTACGCGATTACTCCGATGTTTGTAAACCGATTTCGATCATTCTTTATTTGTTAGACAGAAGTTTGGTACCTCAGTACTGGTTTCATTTAAATTTGTAGAAAATATTCCATCTCTAAGGGTGACACATTAGGGGATGAATCCAGTTTATTGTACTTCCGTTATCCCATTATTAGATAAAAGTTGGCAAATAGATGTAATTCCATAAACTTTTGAGTTCTGGGTTTTCAATTGAAGACCTATAGTTATTAAATTCACAATGAACCCAAAATTTGTAATTGCCCATCGAGCGCTTGCCAAGATCGGGTCTGGGGGTCTACACTCGATCTCCGTCCGAAACAATTACTGCCAAATAAGCAATACTTGACCAAATGAAAAGACGCGTGACGCGAATGAAGCTTCATACTTGATACTTGTCTTTTAATTTTGTCGAATATTACTTATTTGACAGTAATTGTTTCGGACGGACGTCGGACGGAGATCGAGAGTAGACCCCCTGTCAAATTTTCTCCATCTATTCTTATTTTACTCACATTAAATTTCAGCGCGCGGAATGCGGATCCCATACTAATACAGTTCATTCACCTTGGGTCGAGAGGCGGAAACACTGGCTTTATTTTAGAATTAATTTGTTTATAAACGAAATTAAAGCTATTTCAAAGTGTGAAATCAAATGTAATGAAAAATTTTGTACAGTGCCCTACAAAAGACGAGCTAACTTTATCAATGAGCATAGGGGTCGCAAGTTTAATTTTGTTTCTAAAATTAATCTATATCGTATATTATACTTGTTCTGTCTACTTCAGTTGATATAAAAAAAATCATTGGTATACATTGACTTACAAATAAATGGACGACGGGTCTAATACAAAAACCACGAAAAAAATGTCCCAAGTCAACCTATTTAAACGTAGTGACATGTAAAGGAATATGAAAAAGCTAAAACGTTGAATTTAAATTGTAATGTCATCGCAGTACTGTCTAATTTTGCTTGCTTCGCTGTCAGTCGAACAAACGAAGACTAAAGCGTGAACGACGCTCTGTATACGATTTTAACGCCCTATAAGTTCGGACACTTTTTAGCGCGGACCCGACGTCCATATAATTGTAAGTCAATGTTGGTATATGTAAAGTATACATTGAATACAGCGATTTTGTTGTAAAATTTTGATGTAAGTTTCTATTTTACTTTCTATCGTGAACATTTTTAAGGATCGTGTTTTCACACCATATTTAGTAATACCCGCAATTTTGTTATATATTTTTTCCAAAGTGATAGATTCCACACTTTCATTGTTATGCGGAACCAATCAAAGCCATTTGAGTTTGAAGCGACTATGAAGCACTTTATTCTTTTGCGTTACACTAGCTCATATTATACTTACCTTTCCAATTCTCTTTACTCAGACAGGTGTCGGTACACTCTTGCAAAGTTTTGTATCTATTACCGTTTCCTTGACAACCTCCCCAAAGGAACTGGGAGCAGTTTTTTTTGGCTGGATCGAAATAGTACATTCGGATACCAGCGCGACAAGGGCCAGTCTCTGGTATTAATAAACAGGTCTTCTTCAAAACTGCAAATGAAAAATATTCAAGGTATAACGACAGGGATCATAGATATGAAGTTATTTAGTCAACGGGCTACATAAGTTGATTCAAATTAAATGTAATTTCTAAGTTTGTTGAATGTTACGATGTTTTACTACCATGACATTAAATTATTTTTTGTAAAACTACTACCACTAGTTTTTTATAATTATTACAGCAAAGATCACTTATTAGGGCGCGTCCAAATTAGCCGCTGTTAGACGCGCTGCAACCACGCTCGGTTGCAGTCACGGTTAGTGAGGTTATTTGATTGAGGATATTAATTTTTTAAATTAACCACGATGGATGAAAATTGAATAGGAGACTTTATAGAGAATGTAAAACAACTCCCTGCAATATGGGATAGCAGTTCCATCAGAAAATCTAGTCGCACTTCAGCAGTGCGACAGTCGCACTTCAGCAGTGCGACAGTCGCGCCAACGCTTCTAACAGCGGTCAATTTGAACACGCCCTAATAAATAAAAATTCATTCGACCCGGCTGGATTCAAACCAGCAATCTCAGGCAAGGCAGATGCTCTGCCGATTAAGCCACGGAACAAAGGAGCATACCTTACGGATCTTTCTATATGTTTGTTGCAGTTTCATGTTTTTTGGTTTTTAACAACTTTAATGCCGTAACGCCATCTATGAGAAATTTTGTTCTTCACTCAGAGAGTTTATTACCTCTCTGAGTGAAGAAAGGTTTTTATTATAGATTTTAAGATTTTCGTGTATATTTGCTAAATTATTATAATTATTTATAAGTTATGATCAATTTTTATTTTGCCGGTATTCCGGATACACGCTCCATGGTTACGGGTTGGCAATTGGCAGCATTGCATTAAGGCAGTTTCCGATTGGGGCGATGCCAATCTTGACAAATTTAATGCTACCAAAACGCAGGCGTATCTTTTCTCCACTAAACGGATGCCCTTTCACCTGACTCCGACTTTTCGTGATATATCCATACCGATAGTCGACCGTCTTCACCTAATTGGAATGGACCTGTTGTCCGATCTGAATTTCGGCAGATATATTGAATCCATGGCCAAAAATGCAGCCAAGAAGCTTGGCATCATTTCCAAGGTGAGGCGTTACTTCACACCGGGACAGTTGCTTCAGCTGTACCAAGCACAAGTCCGGTCGAGTATGGGGTACTGCTGCCACCTTTGGGATGGCTCTGCTAAATACCAACTGGCCACCTTGGATTCAATAAACAAGAGTGCTAAGAGGCTTATAGGTGACTCGGAATCAGTAGAGTTACCAGTTTATCGGTATTCTACAGGATATATCACGGAGAGTGTGTGATGGAATTGCATAATTTGATTTCGCCTTCCCCTTTCCATCATCGGGAGACTAGACGTGGGCAGGGGTTCCACCCCTATGTTGTGGATATACCCCGGATTCGCACGAACCGTTTCGCCTCCACACTTGTATGGCGAGCGGCTAAGGTGTGGAATTCCCTGCCTGCAGACTTGTTCCCCGAACGCTTTAACTTGGACCTCGACCTCGACCTCACCATCATTTTCCATCAGTTGAGATGGAGGTCAAATGCGCACTTATTTTTTATATAAAAAAATGACAGCAGTGGTAGTAGAGCTCCTTATGAAAGAGCTCGTCCAAGGAAGTACTGCCATCTTACCTATTTCTGCTGCCAAGCGGTAATGTGAGCATTACTGTGTTCCGGTTTTGAAGGGTATATGGGTGTTGGTGAAATTACAGGCACATTGTACTTGTCAACTTATGTCTCTGGGTGACGGGCGCAGTGGCAGTGCACCTCAGATCTTTGCGATTTGAAGCTCAGAGTGGCCCACCAGATGCACGACTTGTTCGTCCCGTTATATGGTATCATAAAAAAAGTTTTATGAACAGACACAGCTGTCCACCCCCTTTCGTCACCGGCGACTACGTTCGTCGCGATTATTTGCAGAGTTACCATCGCCACCCGCTTTTTTACCGACAAACCATACTCACTGTATTCCCACATCAAATTGAAGTCGAAAGAGAGTAAACAAATATGTTTGTTCTTTAAAGATGGCGGTTCGAGTCGAGACATATACAGGAGACCGAGATAAAATGTCTTCGTCTCCAGTGGTGTACTGTGCGCCTAAACCAAGACATACTGAGACAGTGGCCACTGTTTGATCAGTATTGCGTTATTCAGGTTACCATGCCGGACTGCCACGCAGAGAGTTCCCAGGTTCGATTCCCGGGCCGGGAGAAATATTTGTATTTATTTCTCTCGTGAGTTTGGGTGCAAATTGTGGTTGTCTATGTATGTGTCCATGGCACCCGCGACACAGGGTTTTCCTAGTTAGGGGCTATGTTGTGTGTTATATTAATTTAATATTATCCTTCAAATTTTCATTCCTGTATGAGTCAAGCTGCGAATTAAATAGCGCTGGATGTTGTCTTATCATTTCAATTAATTTATAAGCTTCTTCATCAGAATACAATAGCCCGTGCTTTTCGAACGAGACTCGCGACACCATACTGGTCTGCAGCAGAGACCGGGTCTCGCTCGCCAACTGAACACATACAAAAGTCTAAAGTCAAGTTACGGTTTTGGCCTCCTGTCTCTGTCACCCGTGTCTCTGTCTCGACCCGAACCGCCACCTAGACTGTCATTTGTGACTGGCCAGCTAACCCGTGACCATAGAGCGTGTAACCGTTCCCAAATATCGGGTAAATAAAAATAAATCATACCGTGGTGAGAAACGTACGTACGTTCATTATTTTGTGTTTATTTGCCTATACTCTCTATGATGATGACGAATAGCACTGTTAATACAATAGTGTATTAACTCAAAAAGTGTATTTTGAAATGAAAAACGAATTACTCACTTCCCGTAAAAATATATTTAAAAATAAAATGGAAAAAATATTTCACATTTTTGAATAAGGACTATTTTGGCCAGAACTAGGTCACATAAAGTGTGACTATTTAGGAGTTAAGTAGATATTTTCTTACAACATTCTGAAGACGGTTTTATTGACATGTAGAGAATGAAATTTTACGTTCAGTAATGATATAATATTGAATTTCACACGTTTTGAGTTACAACACTATTGTAATAGCATTGCGATATGATGAAGAATATATAAATTTAATGTTTAATTAATGGTTGTTGCTGCTAACCTATACGTAAATGATTTAACATAAATGTAAGAACGGGGACCTGGTGACATGTAATACAGACATTTTTATACCTATCTCAGGCACCAGTCTCTCGCAAATAAGGTTTAATGTAGAAACTCTTTAGTCAGTAAGCATTTATACAAATTACCTTGTATGTTGAGAGAAAATAAATATATTATTATTGTTATAATAGACGGGACGAAAGTCGTGAGCTTGTTGGTAAGCGACACGCCTACACATAATAGTTGCAGTGCCATTCATTATGGCAAAATTATTTGACAACCTCGGCGGCCTAACGGTTTACGCTGTGAGCGCTGGATGCGGAGGTCCTATGTTCGATTCCTGTTACGACCAATTTAAGTGAAATTACCTTTTCTTTGTAATATCAAATTTGAGCTTTAAATCGCAAAGATCTTATGGGCACTGCCATTGCACCCGTCACCTTAGACATTTGACAAGTCCCATGTGCCTATAATTTCACCAATATATCAGGAGAAATAATATAATACAACTTCACGCTTCTTACGAATCGGGATTGGCAGAGACCACAGCCTTCCGCTTACGATCCTGACACATTATTCGCCTCATCAACAGGCATCAATGCAATGCAAAATACGCCCGTCGGTTAAAGGTACTCCTGACATGGTCTTTCTCTAGAACGTCCTGCATGTGGTCGTGGTAAGTGAGCCTTGGTCGGCCTTTATCCGCTCACGCGATACATGCAGCCGTAGACGTAGGTATACCACACCTAGAGGTGCCAGTGATGAATTTATACCGATTTATCGGATATCGAAGTTATAACAGGTAAAAGAACTAATATTAATTGCTATTTCTGTAACTACTCTAGCTAACCATAAAGTTTTTAATGCCTGGGTCTGTCATTTAAAAAAAATAAACAACTTCAAAAATACGTCACGACAATCGTGTGTGTTATTGTTTGGGCTGGTGATTTCGGTGTTTATTTATTGAAAACATACCGTAAGTAGCGTTTTTTAAGTTTACCCTGAATATAAATGTTTATAAACTATACTTTAAGGAGTAATTTCATGGTAAACGTTAGAACCACTGAAATGGAATATTATCATATTTATCCAAGTACACCAAAAATTTCATTAGTGCTTTTTAAGTGCAGGATTTGAGGTGTTTTACTGCATTTTATGTAAGATGTTTTTGTTGGTAGTACGCAGGGTATTTATTTAGCAATGCAGAATAATAATTTTTATTTATAAAAACTTGTATTTAAACTGAATGCTTTTCTAATTTGCGAAACCAAATAGTCGCCATTTTGCGGTAGGAGGAGCGCATCGCGTGAGCGGTGATCAACTTACCTGCTGGGAGGAACAATAGAAGAAGAAATACTCACTTGAACTTTCAGTTACGACGCGTTTTACATATATCGACGAAATAGTATTTAAATGTAGCCATGACGTACATAAATTAATAAAATAAATAACTAAAATTATCAAAACTGCTGGTGTCATCGTTTACTCGTGACACATATATCACAATATTGGCACAACTGCGCCCGTGTGAATGATTATATAGAGAAATATCAAAATTGAATATAGATTTAGATTAGAGGTTATTTTTATGGTAACCAATAAAATATTGTATAGCAATATACGAATAAGATTGAACCATCAAATTGTTTCACAAGAATAGTGAAACAAATATTTCTTATCAGTGTTGGTAAATAGGTATATAAAGAAGATACACTTATACTTTTATGTTTTATATATAGTAGCCGTAGAGTTCCTTCTGAAAGGGCTAGTCCTGACCATAGATATCTATATGTATGGTCTAGATCCTTATCTATTTCTGCCGTTAAGCGGTAATATGAGTGTAGTAAGGTTTCTGGTGAAATTACAATAAATTGATAAGTATTCAGTCATCAAAGTATCGTAAGATTTTTGTTTTGAATGGAGATCATAATTTAAACGTTAATGATTATACTAATATTGCTTATTCATTATCTGATAATAAGGACAGTGAGACGTTTAACTACGACAATAAGTATACAGCATTAAATGCAATCACGTGTCTTAATACTATATTTAACAATATAACCATTATTTTCAGTAAATGTTTAAACTCTACCAAAATTCTTATTCTTAAAATATTCCACAATGTGACCGTCCCTCTAGATCTAAGCGTCTGGGTAAACACCGTAAGGCAAGCATATGACGATATGGTTCGTAGTAGAAGTCGAGATCCTGTGGTTCAAACGAAACCCTTCAATTTTTGCTTTATCTGGGTGCCAGATGGATTCAATGATCACTGTTTTGGAGGAGAAATACGATAATACACAGTAAGGTATACAAAGTCTGCAAAAAATATAATGATGTATACAGATTGCGATGTAAATAAAAACAAGTTTTACAATAAACAGCTAACTATCATACTAACAAACACACTCTAGTAGCAGTAAGCTCCTTGTGAAAGAGTTCATCCAGGGAAGTACTGCCACCTTACCTGTTTCTGCCGCTAAACAGTAATGTGTGCATTATTGCGTTCCGGTTTTAAAGGTGCTGGTGAAACTGCAGGCACATGGGACTTTTCAACTTACGGCTCAGGGTGACGGGCATAGAGACAGTACACCTCAGATCTTTGCGATTTAAAGCTCTGAGCGGCACTGCAACTGATATGGACAGGCGTGTAGCTTACCACCAGGCGCATGACTTGTAGGTCCCGTCACGGTGGTGCATAATAGGAGCGCCTCCGCACGAGGATTCATTCTTTTCCTGTACCTATGTCTGGCGCACCTGGGCAACAATCGACGAGCACCAAACATCGATTGGCAAGCCCTTTCATCACTATGGCAAGTTTTAAGAATAAAAACTCCAATATAGTAATTTAAACTTATTTATTCGTTATCACTTCGTAGAAACGTCTACAATTTCAAATTTACAATTTACGTTCACTAATTATTTTTCCTAATAAGATTCCTGATTATCTATATTGAATTAAAATGAAAATTTTTGAAATATGTCTCCTCTTTGTATTTTTCATAAACATAGTTCTAAATACAGCATATGCATGTATGAACTTACAAAAATAGACAATTCAGATGAAGTTGTGTTCAGTAATTGGATGACTTATGGGTCGAGGATGATTCAAATGAAACAAGTCCTCTATTTATTCCACAAGCGTGATCAATATTCAGTCGATAGTCTATTACTATTATTATTATATAAACTAGTTTTAAACTGTTTTACCTTTGAGAGAAATAAAAAGAAAATAAGATGGTAATTTAACAAATTTGCATTTGTAGACAGACACAGATAAATCTAGCTGACAGAATAACTATACTGACTAGTTTAGCAAAATCCGAACTAACAAAAGTTCTTTGAAATCCGTCCATAAATTAAAGACATTCAGGACAAAATACTAACGAACTCACAAACTCTCAGCGTAAATGAAACTTGGGCTTGCAGGGACGGAACTGGTTACTGAAAACCAAGGCCATAAAGAAAACTTTTCTCGAACATGTTCAGATATATTTGCATTATTTCGAAAAAAAGAACCACAAAGTTTTCGTTTATGGATCATACAACCATAGTATAATAAGATTAGTATGGTAACTCCATACAAACGTAGCAGTTGCGTAGGCCCGTGATGTCAAGCGCGCCAATTTGTATGGGCGAGCTCGCAAAACGGACGAGTCCGAGCGCTCTCGGGCCGACGCGACGCAGTGGCGGCGCGTATTCGAGTATGTATCGAACAGGGGACCTACCAAAACCTTTCCAAAAACAATCTTATTTCAATGTAAGCTGAAAATAAGCTTATTATAATATTGCTCATATTCGTACCATGATGAACCTGTCAAACAAGTAATGTATTATTGCGAAAGTGATTGAAAGAACGAATGATTTCCCAATATTGTCTATTCCTTACTAAAAATAGGAAAAAGATAACGCTATGTGAACTATATAACGCCATCTCTTTCTTTTTTGATATTCCGAATCGTAGTATAATGTTTAAGTACTTAATGTTATTTACATTTAGAGAATTCTGACTGTTAAGAAAAGAAAAGTGTGTAATAATAAAATCTATTAAAATTACGTTGTTCTCAACAATTATTCCGCATTTTCATGAAGAAAAATAAATAAAACAAGCTGAGTCTTAATAGTCAGGTTGTGAATTCGGAACTATAGTCTGGTGTCAACTGTTAGTTTCGCCAAGGAGCATATAGATGGCGCTGTTATAATTTTTACGAAACAAACATCGCGTATTTTTATTTAACGAAATATTATTTACTATGTGCTATTAAATAAAAAATAAACAAAATATTGAAGAGATATATGTAAATAAATAAGTTCAACATAACTTTTAATGATTACAAATCAATATTAAGACAGTAAAACTGAAAATAATATTGTTTCCATTGCATCCGTGTAACTATTTTAAGATAATATTACTTTAATGTTATAGTCGCATCATAGTACGAACTGAGTGAATGAATAGTCACAAAGCTGCCAATAAAACATCATAGTTTTAAAATTACAATAAGCTTGCTTTAAGCGCGTTATGGTACGAAAAATCAATGTAAGGTTAAAGTAATATTGTTTTAAGAGGTTTAGGTACGACCCCGGGCCGCCACAAGCCCGAGCGGCCCTCTTCACGCGCTGCGCAGGCCGCAAAACGGGCCACGTGCCGTCGGAAACCGCCTGTACACGCACATAAGCCACGTTGCTGCGTATTATTGAAGTTGCCATACTCGCTTTATTATACTATGATACAACTCTTTAAAAGTAACTATGAAAGTCCATTTCTACCCTATTGTTTTGTAATCTGAGTTCTACCCCTTAACTTTTAAATCTATCTACTAACAATAACTATGTAAACAATCTGAGGAAAAATTCCGTCGGTTGCGTCCACTGCGTCCGTATTTACGAAACATTTCAAAAATATATGAAGATTACTCGTCAACTTATGCTTTGGAGCGCAGTGGCAGTGCCCCTCAGATCCTTCCGATTTAAAGCTCTGAGTAGCACTGCAACTGCACAGCAGTGACAGGCGTGTCGCTTACCACCAGGTGCACAACTTGTTTATCCTGTCACCAAGTTAAAAATCCACTAGATTTGATTCCGGTTCATTCAGTGTAGTCTTGAAACTTACCTATTACAGACCCTAGGAGCCTGTTTGTAAATGGTCCTTAAGGTATACTTGTGACAAAGATTCTTTGAAGTCATTTAAAAGCAAATTGGAGCAAAAATTATGAATCTTTTATACCAACCTCATTGTCGTAAAGTAATTTATAAGAATACCTGCTTCAACACGTGTACAACTATTTTTAATAAATTATCAAATGATTAAGTTGTTACAAGAACATACTTTTAAATTACAATTGACAAAATGACTTTTGACACTTTGCTTCTACAGTAATAAAGATACTTAGAACTTATAAATTCTGTTGTACATTAATTTGAAACTATAGAGACCACACATTAAATTCCATTAATATTTGCACACCTGCTTCCAGATTGCATACAATGTACCTAATTTTATCTAAGACTTGTGTAATTACTGTATTTATGGCAAATAAACGTATTCTATTGGTGTCAACGGCATTTTACCAAAAAGACACCATGTGGTTTCCTAAAATCATTTTTATTATTTATTTAAATCCTTCTCTGTGTCACGAAGACAGACTCAGCCGTCGCCAACTCAGGCCCGCAGCGAAATCTTAACGAGTTGCTGGCTTAATCCTATCCTATGACGTTTTTCTTGCGCAAAACCCAATTACCATATGTATTCGTAGTATGAAATTCAGAACAGCTTTCACACTTTAGCTAAATTTGCATTGTTAATTGTGGCTTCCTCTGTTAGTGGTATCTTTGGGGGGAAAGGGGGTAGGAAGTGCATAGTAAAATCTTTGGGGATTCGTTGTTCTAGGAATAATAACATTACAACAGTTAACAGGATTGTTTTGGGAAGCGGCAACGCTGCTATTTGAATGAGTGTCGAAATCTTGTTTTAAAATTAGCTGCTTTGTTACAGAAGTTTTATAACGTGGTTTATGTTACTTGAATTTTACTCGCACTGTACTTGGATTGTTTGCATAAATTTTCACTTATTTATGTAATGATATGATGATTATTTTTACAATCATGATGTTCATATCATATACTCGAAATCAGTTCCAATGTCATTTGTACTTGTTATTTACTAATTCCTTTACTTGCAGAGGCCGGGAAACAAGGGATTCCCGGACGAGCGCTAGCAAGGCCTTGTAGTAATACAAGTCAAACAATCCCCGTTCCCGCCGAGGCATATATAGTGTTTTTCTCAAACATTGTGAGGACATATTAAAAGACTAAGGAGAGGAAGATGTATAATAGAAACAGTAAAAAATATTAATTAATATCAAAAGTAATATTTGACGTGTTAGGACAATTACTAGAATAATAAGAATATTTTCTTAAAATTTAAATGGGTCGAATATTAAGGTACCCTTTTTACAATGAAAAAAAGGAATCAT